GCTTAACAACTACGCACATATTCATTCTATTCACTCTAATGTTAATCTCTAAAACATTTCGCTGACTTAGACATTTTCCTATGTATATATGTGTAAATTTTTATTTTATGAATTCATTCGCCGATACGCTTACTCGCTAGCTTGCTTGCGCTTCTCTGTGTGCCTGTGGTGTATCAAAATAAACGTAATCAACACTTCGCATTCGTCTTCTTATTTACTAATCGTGAGGCACTACTTAGTAACGATTGTCTGGACAAGCAAATCACGACTTCTAAGAAGACGTTGGACACTGAGTGTCACGAAACTAGTGATATATTAGCCACCATATACTCACTAGAAACTAACTTTGTAGGGAGATTCTCTGAATCCTACTGGGAAGAGACGACCAGTGGAGCTAAACTGAGTTGGATGTTAGGTAGTTACGAACCGAATATGATGGATGGTTGTGCAACATTGTGGATTGGTTGAAGTTAGACATTAGCAAACGTTCAACACTCACCCAGTGGTCAAGTGTTCGTGCACGAAACCAAACGTCCTGTATTTGATTCCCTCTGGCAGGATGCTGTTGCTGATTTCTCCACTAAAAAGAAACGATCTTCCAATACTTTCATGTTTTCAGGAGTGGTCTAAAGTAGATTAGCTCATAATTTCAGTGAAAGTAAAATATCCTATCCTGTTTGACATAAAAACTACACATCCTTACTAAATATTAGCACAAAAACCTAGATCACGCTAGAGTACAACAGCATGCGATCACAATTTCATAAATCTCATAGTCTATTGTACCTTGTCTGTTTCGTCCTCATTTTCAAACTGTTTAACAATGTTTATCTACCTATGCTCTAGTTATTGAATCATATGCTTGCGTAATCCATAAGTGCCCAGACATCCAGTTGCTAAGATCTCAGATGGTACAGGTGAGTGACACAAGACTGATACAAATAAAACATATCACTTCTCTCACGATTTTAGTTTACTTTGTTGACAAAGGCTAACTAGTAAGAAACTTGAGTTCAGGTTCCCTTGTGGTGCGCGCTACTTATAAGTAGTATATGACGCGAGTAAAAACGTAATGTCTGGCTGTAGAACATGGGGGAAGATCAAGAAAGGAAGAGTGGGAACACAATGGAATTTGTATGAAACGCATGAATAAGTGAAACGTCAGACAATGGATTGATGATGGATTGAAGATTTGCAAATTAACCGTTTACGATATGGTTTTCCGATTTTACTGAGTAACTGTGTAATTTTCGTTAAATACAATTCGGTTGCCCTCACATGTGTTCTCCTTCACTACAAACTATCGACTACGTTCAATCACCTAACATTAAATTATTGAAGAGCACATAATGTCAAGTTATAGAGATTGATACCCACACTGTGACTTGATCGACAGAATCTGTCCAGTATTATTAAAGGACAGTAATCAACAATTAATGACTTTTCCATTACACTCATAAATTCACCAACAACTTCCAACTTGGAATACCACCCATGCTTCATACAAGTTTTGGATAAAAACACGAAAATATATTTCCACAATACAACTTAATCACAGCAGTTGATGTTACATTATATTTAATTACAACAAACAGGATTCTAACGTCATTTGAATATGGATTTGTGAAATATGCACTGATGCATATTGATTTTGGAAATATGCTAGCTGATTGAAGTACAGATGTCGAAACAATGGAATAATTCGAATTTAATTAGTAAACTGGTGGTTGATGGTGTTATCAGTAGTAGTAGTGTGTGTAGTAGCCGAATATGTAGAATTGTGTGAGTGATGAGAACTAGAGAAAAGAGAAGAACAAAAGGGGAAGAAGAACAAGTCAGTAATCATACAAACAGCAGATTCAGAGAATCTGCAAAACGAAACCAAGAAGAGTTGTTGATAAAGTGAAGATTTTACACTGCTCCAAGTATCAATCGGATTACAAAGAGAGGTTTAATAAACCAGGGCGATTAAAATGTTACGTTCAGTTATGTCCACTCAATTCCGTTATGCTTGGTTGTTAATTACTTAATGTGCATAGTGTGGTGCGCGTTACTTATGAGTAGTATATGACGTGAGTGAAAACGTAATGTCTAGCAGCCGAAGATGGGGGAAGATCAAGGGAAAGGAAGAGTTAGAACACAATGGAATTTGTATGAAACGCATGAGAATAGTGATAATGGATTGATGTTGTTTGCAACAGGAACAGTCCAGTTTGATATGATGGACTGATATGTTGCAAATGAACGATTTACGATATGGTGTTCCGATTTTACTGAGTAACTCTGTAATTTTCGTTAAATACAATCCGGTTGCCCCACCTGTGTTCTCCTTCACTACATTTGGTGTCGCTGCCTACACAAAGGATGAAGATACCATGGCCAAAGGAGTTTGAGGACGGAGCTTTCTGAAGGAGCTTGAGGCCGTGGGGGAGCGGGTGGGTGTGAAGGAGCCGAAGGCGAAGCTGGTGACGCTGCTGAGAGCTTTCTTACAACTCAATCCTATACCACAAAATAATGCTCGACGAGGCAGTCGTGGGTTGGGCATACGTAACGCATGTCCCAACCACCTCAACTGATGAAGTTTCAATATTTCACATATTGATCTGCCATCTGTACCCATTACTATTTTCCTAACTATAGCATTGCTTACTCGGCTGTCCCAGGATATACGAGCAATGCTTCGAAGATATCTATGACCGAATACTAATAACTTACGAATGTCGTCTACTCTCACCGGCCATGTTTTGCATCCATGTAATAGGACGAAGCGAACGACTACGCAGTACACCTATCCTTTGGTTAGCGAACCGATATCTTGTGTCCACCGTAAGTGACGTAAGTTGGCAGGAGTCAGTCGAGCCTTCTGTATCCACGCTGAGATTTGTTAGTCACCACCACTGATGAGACTCCCAAGATAAGTGAAGCGGTCAACACACTCAGCTGCTTCACTCCCTATCACTAGTTCAGGTGCCGATGCAACCTAATCTTGGAGCAACATTTTGCATTTCGAAGGGGAAAGCCGCATCCCGAACATGCTTGCATTATTGGTTAGGGTAGTCAGAAGACTCTGCATTTTGTCAGCGTCTTCACCAAGTACAACTATGTCATCGGCATATTCTAAGTCAATAAGCGAGCCTCCTGGAAAAAGGTCTACTCCTCAAAATTCAGACGAGGATAAGGTTATGTCTATCAGCATGTCTGACAAAATTGAACAAAAATGGTGGAAGTGGACATCCCTGATGTACACCACTTGAAGTAAAGAATTTCGATGACAGTTCGCCATAAGCCTTAACTATTGTAGGACGGTCAAATGTATGTCTGTGTCCCAAAACCTGTCGTGGTGCGAAGATATGGTCTATATAGTCACGTCCTGGTCGAAAACCAGCCTGATTTTCTCTAGTCTGCTCTTCAGGAGCTCTACTTAGGCGTCTAAGGAGTATCGAGGCTAACAATTTAGAAACTATATTAGTTAGACTGATACCACTGTGATTATCACAAGAGGACTTTTGTCCTTTCTCATAAATTGGGACAATCAGACATTGAGAGCAGTCGGATCCAGCTCCTCGCTATACAAAGACAGTGACTTCATAGAAAACGTTCAAATAACCACACTGAAGGTGATTCTCGGGATTTGTAAAGATGACTAAAAACTAGCTAAACTAAGTTTATTGCCTTTGTCATAACAAAAGAGAAACAGACTAGCTGACTACAGTTTCTGATGTGGATGTTAGATCACCAGAACTCGCTTGATAAATGCCTTATTTTAGATTTCATGTTTGTGAGCATGGGCTGATCAGTTGACCTTGAGGTTTCATTTCCCACCAGGAAAATCCATGACTGTGATTGACTGCTGCTGTGTATTTTAGTGTGCTATTTTTGTGACTGTCCCAAGGACATTTCTATGATGTATAAATAAACGAGAGTTATGCGGTTGATTGTATTGTGCTTGCTGGGTGTTTGTAGAATATACTTTCTACGCTTACCAAGCCTTCTGTTTACAGCTTGGGATTCAAGGTAACCTATCTGGACGCTGGAAATTGTCTCGTTCGCGTTCATCGACTAAGGTGAACTCGTAACAGCTTCACGTATACCAGTGACGAACATAACGGTTTCTAAGAAACAATTAAAATTCTTCACATCTAATATACCTCCATACACTTAGCAATTATACCAAGCTACACATACGTACACAACCGACTTCAGGTACTTCAAACTCAGCATGACTATCACCTTTATTAAAGAAAGCTGTTCAAGGTCGGTCGTGTCACTTACTATACATCAACTCCGGTAGAAAGATAGTTTGCTGAAATTACGTGCACCAACAATTGGTTCATTGATATAACACAGTGGACAGACATTCAAAACGCACACACACATACACGCATATAGACACACACAGTAAGGCAATGAAGATTCAATTTATTCGACGATAATACCCTAGTGGACAGACATTCAAATTGTGCGCGCGCGCGCGCGCGACGTACACACAAACACACAGACACACGGCAATAGAGACACACACAATAAACCAATGAAAATTCAATTTATTTAACTATAATAATAATAATAATTCCAACAATCCTGATAACAAAAATATTTTTTATATCGAATAATTTTTTTTTGGCCAACAAAAAAAAACAAAAACAAAAAATTAAAAAACAAGGGAGAAAGAAAGAAACTGAAAACAAAAACAACTGAATACAATAAAAAAAAACACAAAACAGAAATTTTAAAAATAAATAAACATCTATCTATCGGCTCGGAAGCGAGAAAAAAAAACAAGACAAAATGATGATGTTCACTGCCATCTTTGATATCGCTCTGTCTCTGTGTGTGCATCTCTCTTTAAATCACAAAATAGCTAAGAATAATAAGAATAATAATAATAATAATCGTTTTTTCATTTTTCTCTGATAAAGTATAAATGCAGAAAAGGTGAATGTTTTTTTTTCAAATAAATAAAGTTATATATAATTGCAAATACAGACTATTATTATTATTAACAATATTATTATTATAAACTGCTGCAATACTACTTATTTAAAATAAAAGTAGACTGTGATAGAGCAGTTATTATTATCACTATTCTTTCTTCATAATATTTACTAAATTTGAAATTAAAAATTTAAATGAAACAAAAAAAAATAAACTCAATCAATCAATCAAAATCAATAGATCAATAAATCGATAAATAAAATAATTCATTAATTAAATAATTCATTTATGAATAAACCACACACACACACACACACAGAGAACAACAAGTTTTTAAATTGAACGTTCACAGATATGATTAAAACGTTTGGCATGATAATAATTGGAACTTTGATAACGACAATAACGTCCATAATAACAATTCGGTTTTAGAATTACTTCAGTCGGTAATGCATTTGGACAAATGGATAGACGATATTGATACGCCAATTGACTAAGTAATAATTCACCACAATCTTTACAAATTAATGAATTTGCATTTAATAAGCATGATGTTGTAGCATTACAAATGGTTGTAGTATTCATATAAAATGTTAAACAATAATTAATAAATGTAGGAATTGATATACCCTGAGATAGAAGATAATCCTGCGAGAGAGAGAGAGAGAGAAGTGAAAAGAAAATTAAATAGGAAATGAATATTTATTGGTTGGATAAGCAAAGTTTTGATGAGAATATGATTAAATTTTTCAGATAGGATACCTGTTAGGGACGTTAGATCCCTAAAAGTCACTCGGAAAGAATACTTATTTTGGATTTTCTATGTTTACGCGCACAAGTCACCTGGTTGACCCTGAGCTTACATTGCCCACTCGAAAAATCCTTGATTGTTATTGGTTGTTAGATTATTTTAGTATGCTGTTTTGTGACTATCCCAAGGTCAGTCAGATGCAACGTAGAACTTTGTACGTGTAAGTACATCAGTTCATGTTGCCATACCTTGTCAGCACAGAGATGTAATTGTCGATTCAAATTCAAAAGTAGAAGAGGTAGTAAAGGTATTAGAAGTAGTCGGAAAGGTTAGGATGAGAAGATATTATTCAAGAAGTATGATTCAGTGAGATAAGTTTAGAAAGTCAAAACTAGAGGGGTTGAAGGATCTAGAAGATTAGGATTTGAGAGATCACAAAGAATAAATGCACCGGCGCCATTGAAAACGGTTTTGAGCCATGTCATTCAAGGTCTCTGATCATCGATTATTATCATCTCGTGGACCCCAACCAGGTAGTCGACAATTACCGACATGACTCAGTCCATTTGTCAGTGACTTCATGGATTTCTGCCATGTTTTGGTTTGGCCGCCCCTAACTTTCTTCCAACCTATTCCTACACTACAAAACAAAGCTCGTCGCGACATTCGGTGGTTGTGCATACGTGACACATGTCCCAACCACCTCAACTGACGAAGTTTCACCACTTCATCTATTGATCTGCCATTCTTACCTAGCACCCGTTTCCTAATAACAGCGTTGCTCACTCGGGTGTCCCATGATACACGAGCAATGCTTCGAAGACATCGATGATCGAAGACTAGTAACCTACGGAAGTCCTCTACTCTTAACGGCCAACTGTCGCGAGGTAGTTTCTAGCATGTATAAATAAGCTCGAGTTGTGTGCTTGTCAACCTTGTACACTTTGGGTGCTTGTAGAATACATTCTCTACTGCTCCTGATCAAGACGTCTTGATTTAGTTAGCCACGCCGAGGACAAACGGATAAGAATAGTCTATCATGTTACTGCATCGTTGATCTGAGCTCCGTTTACCGTGTAAGGTGAACTCGTAATAGCATTCAAGCATACCAAAAACTGCTGGACAGTTGTTTTTTGTTACAGTGTGTGACTGTCATGAATCAGTGTGCATCATCAACGATGCTAACAGCACAAATCGAACACCCACTTCTTCAGTGGATGTAACGAATGTTTAACTTCTGGATAATGATTGAAGTTAGCATTCTATGGCGGTAAATGTTTTTCTAATTACAATCGATTTACGGTAGCTCAAACTGAATTCATACAATCTGTTGTGAATATTACCGGTAAGAATTTATTAAGTTGAAATGAATTCGCAAAGCTTCTACCTGATATTTTGGAAACTGTTTCAAATTAACAACAATATGAGTGTCGTGTGTGCTACTTATGCGAACGATATAAGTAGTATACGAAGGGACGTCCCCGGCACCACCGCCTTCGCCCTCCGTTCCTTGACTCCTACTAGCTCCGCCACGGCTTCGAACTCCTTCAAGAAGCTCCTTACATCTTCGTCTTCAGAATCCCGAGGCCATGGGATCTTCATCCTGTGTAGAGGCAGCGACACCAATTGAGAAGACTGAGGCAGGCGAGGAAGATTGTATTATGCAAATTTACACTCTTAGTCAATTGAAAACGAAAACATTACATTGAATACTCTATTTGCACACCATCTTTGAGTCGTGACTTCCAACACTCCATCCTTCTTCCATTCCTGTTATTGCTTCCTTTACTTCCTGTCGGTACTCCATTTACTTCTTGCTACATTTTGCTCCATTTGCTTTCCGTTTTCCTCTTCTGACCGAGCGACTTCTCCTTTCACGTCCCTTCTTACACTACTTATATCGTTCGCATAAGTAGCACATACCACATGAGTATCAAATAAACAGATATAATCAGATTTAGTCAGCTAATAAGATGACTAATGTGATTATTTTTTACGATGGAGATTTGTTTTCTGAGTTGAATGGTGTGGCGTGGTGATCTCCTGTGTCGTTAGGGGTATGACAGTCACTTCCCGGTTGCCCACACCATAAAAGGGTGTTTCTACAGGAGACTGAAAAAAAAGTTGGATTAGCGTTAGTCATAGCGACCTGAGAGAGGGACAGTAGAGTCAAGAGGAAAAGACCTCGACGTCAGTCATGCACGGCCTATTTATGAGATTTCGAAGTGTTAGCTCCACACTTTTTGAAAGGCTTTAACGCCGGAAACGAAAATCCGGGAGGTAAGGTGAGGTGTGACATTTTTACAGTCGACCTTTCTTAATCCCTTCCTTCTGTTGTGAGAAGGCAGCATTGCTGCAAATTCTGGTTGTCCGAGGCAAACACCTTACTGCTGTTACTCACCCCTCTACAGTCAACAGAACGACTTCGCCTACAGTCGTTGAATTGCTGCGAAGCTTTTAGTCTTACTGTCTTCTAACTGACACACCAAGAGTGGTAGGAACATGAGTTCCAGACAATATTTTAATATTAATATGGTTCGGTTGGGTTATCACGATAGATAGATAGATAAACCAGACCATTACATCAAGGTAGCAGCAGCTACGATCGGGTTTTAATCGTGGAGTTCTCATTGTTCTTATGAACAAGTGGAGATGGGTCCATTTTGAGTGAAATGGATTTGTTAACGTTGGTTATTTGTAATCATTCTAGTTATTGATAGGTGGGCATGAAATTCAAGTATCACTTAACAAAATAAATACTAACACAGCAGCTCTTCTATATCTTTATTTGATATGTATGATGGATGATACATATACATTGAACAATATTTCAAACTCTAATCGATCAATTCCAGTATCGAAGTGTAAATTATGCATAATACAAATCAATAATGTAATCATAATCGGATTATAGATTTAAAATAAAAATTTTAAAAAAAGCAATACACTAATAGAGATAGATAATCAATTTTTCCGCAAGATAAAAATAACTTACATCTAAAATTCTTGTTTCAATACGATTATTCAGTAATAAATTACGTGGTATTGAACGATATCTTGTTAAATCTGAAATAACAAAGAATTAAGCACAAAGAAATTTACAGTAGTATGAGATTAGAGGTCAGTCAGTCAGATGCAACGTAGAACTTTGTACGTAAGTACATCAGTTCATGTTGCCATACCACATCAGTACAGAGACGCAAATGTCAAATCAAATCCCATAGTGATAAAGATAGTAGAGGTGTAAAGAGTGGATGCGCCTACGCCATTGCAAACGATTCTGAGCCATGTCGTTTGAGGTCTCTAACCATTGGTTAACTTCGTCTCGCGCACCCCAACCAGGTAGCCTACATCTACCAACATGACTCAGTCCGCTAGTCAGTGACTTCATGGATTTGTGCCATGTTTTGGTCTGGCCGCCTCTAACTTTCTTCCAACCTATTCCTACACCACAAAATAAAGCTCTTCGAGGCAGTCGGTGATTAGGCATACTCAACACATGTCCCAACCACCTCAACTGATGAAGTTTCACCACTTCATCTATTGATCTACCATCCTTACCTAGTACTCGTTTCCTAACGACAGCATTGCTTACTCGGCTGTCCCACGATATACGAGCAATAATGCTTCTTAAACAACTATGATCGAATACTAGTAACCTACGAACATCTTCTACTCTTAACGGCCATTTTTAGCATCCATATAGAAGAACGGAGCGAACTGCTGCGCAGTACACTCGTCCTTTGGTTAGCGAACGGATATCACGCCTACGCAATAAGTGACGCAGGTTGGCAAAAGACAATCGAGCTTTCTGTATCCGAGCTGAGATTTCGTCAGTCCCCAGGCCATCGGCACTGATGAGACTCCCCAGATAAGTGAAGCGATCAACACGTTCGACTACTTCACTCCCTATCACTAGTTCAGGTGCCGATGCAACCCAGTCCTGAAGCGACATTTTGTATTTCGAGGGTGAGAATCGCATCCCGAACATGCTCGCATTGTTGCTTATGGTAGTCAGAAGACTCTGCATTTTGTCAGCGTCTTCACTAAGTAGGACTATGTCATCGGCATATTCTAGATCAGTAAGCGACTTTCCTGGTAGAAAGTCAACCCCTGAAAAATCTGACGAGCTTAATGTTAAATCTAAGAGGATGTCTACGACAAAGTTAAACAAGAATGGAGATGTGTGTACAGTACATGTACGTGTGCAGCACGCGTCAACTCGGTACAATGTTCAATTTAAGTCGAATAGTGGAACAAGTGTTACTGCTGTATTACTTACAACCTATCATCATAAACAGGTCCTGATAGACTGACCCCTCAGATATTTAAGGATGGTGGTCCAGTTTTAGCAGCTAGGTTGACTGAGATCTTAGGTAGAATCTGGGAACTGGACGTAATCCCATCCGACTGGTCTCAATCACTGATCGTCCCAATCTATGAGAAAGGACAGAAGTCTTCTTGTGACAATCACAGGGGAATAAGTCTAACTAATATAGTATCTAAAATATTGGCCTCAATAATACTTCGACGCTTAACGAAAGCTCGTGAAGAGCAAACTCGAGAAAACCAGTCTGGTTTTCGACCTGGTCGTGGTTGTATAGACCACGTCTTCACACTACAACAGGTCCTGGAACATTGACACACATTTAGGCGTCGTACAATAGTTGTTTTCCTGGACCTAAAAGCGGCATTTGACTCTGTTGATCGTGAGGTTTTGTGGCAGTGTCTGTCATTGAAAGGTGTACCAAAGAAGTGCATTAACCTTATACAAGCTCTCTACTCGAACACCACTGGTCGAGTGAGAACTTATGGCGAACCGTCATCGGAACTGATTACTTCAAGTGGTGTCCGTCAGGGATGTCCACTCTCTCCATCATAGACCTGCTCCTAGAAATAACCTTATCCTCGTCTGAATTTTCAGTAGTAGACGTTTTACCAGGTGGCTCGCTTATTGACTTAGAATATGCCGATGACATAGTTGTACTTGGTGAAGACGCTGACAAAATGCAGAGTCTTCTGACTACCCTAAGCAACAATGCTTTGTGTCCTCTCAAATCCTAATCTTCTGGGTTCTTCAACACCTCTAGTTTTGACTTTCTAAACTTTTTTCCCTGAATCATATTTCTTGAATATCTTCTAATCCTAACCTCTCCGATTACTTCTAATACCTTTACTACCTCTACTACTACTATTGGATTTGAATTGACAATTACATCTCTGTGCTAATAATGTGGTATGGCGACATGAACTGATGTACTTACTACGTACAAAGTTCTACATTGCATCTGACTGACTATCATCATAATATAACTTATACTGACTATATATACTACATACATACATACACCTACACCTTAACTTACCTTGTACATAAGATAAACAATAACCATCACATGTTGAACATCCTTGTGGATTAATTAGCGAACAAAATGTACGTCGGCATACTTCACATTCTGTTTGATTAATACCACTATGTAGTTGAGGAATTGTTGTTGTTGCTGTTCGACTAGGCATTGGTCTATTACAACATGTACAATAACAATGCGCTGTACCTAAACGACAAATAAAAACATCAAAACATAAAAAATTGAAAATATAACAAGAATATTGATGAAAATAATAATTATTATTATTGTTACCTATTATAAGGTTCGGGGGGGGGGGGTACCGAGAGTGCACCACCACCTACTACGGATGTTGAAATGCCCATATTCCAAATCAGTGACCAACAACATGGGCTCTAGGATCTTGAGGAGACAATAAGTGACATCAGCTATCATAAGACTGCTTCATTACATTGTTAATTAGACCTTCTAGGAAAAGGTTCAGGGAGGGGCTCCTTAAGAAAACGGGCACTAGGTAGGGATGTGATAGGATATTCATCCAATATCCTAAGAGAATTATTGGTTAACTCCTACTGGTCAATTTTATGGTCGTCCCAGATATTAATGTCACATCAAATGTTGTTTTCTATTCGACCTAAATGTATAAATACGCATTATGTGTAATGCTTTATGACCCGGATCCCTAGTCTGGGGATCCTAATTCTCTTCTAGACTTAGACCTCGTATTTTTTGGATGCTTTTAAAATACAGGTTCTACTTCACATTAAATCATCTTCTTTTATTCAATAGGGGTTGGGATAATCGGATTTGAGTAGCATGTCGTGTCGTCGGATCTTCGCTCTTGTATTCCGACGACTAAGGTAAACACTCATAATACTTCAAGTCTATCAAAATGACGTGTTTACGTCCATGCATAACAGGATGGCAGATCAATAGATGAAGTATTGAAACTTCATCAGTTGAGGTAGTTGGGACATGCATTACGTATGCCTAACCACCGATTGCCGCGACGAGCAATATTTAGTGGTATAGGAGCAAGTTGAAAGCTAGGGGGGCGTCCAAGCCAAAACATGGCACAAATCCATGAATTCACTGACAAGTGGACTGAATCATGTTCGCTGGAGTCCGCGAAACGAATGTCACCAATCGTTAGAGACCTTGAACAACAAGGCTCAAAACTATTTGCAATGGCGCAGGTGCAGCTACTCTAATTCTTCATCATCTCTATATTTCTCTTTCTAAATTTGTCTCACTGAATTATACTTGCCCAATCATATCTTCAAACCCTAATCTCTCCTACTATGAAATTTGAACTGACAATTGCGTCTTTGTGCTGATGCCGCTATGACAACCTGAACTTATGTACGAAGTTCTACGTTATTATAACTAACTGACTGCCTGACTGATCATCTGACTAGATGATGATATGTTCCATCAAGGCATAATCAAGCATCCAATTGAATTTTTTTCTTATTACAAAAAACAACAAAGCACAGAAAAAATGGCGCGCTCACCAACTACTACTGTGGTGCGAGCTACTTATAAGTAGTAGTATATGACGTGAGTGTCAACATAATGTCTGGCAGCAGAAGATGGGGGAAGATCAAGAAAGGAAGAAGGGTGGGAACACAATGGAATTTGTGTATGAAACGCATGAATAGTGACAATGGATCGATGTTGTTTGCAACACGAACAGTCCAGTTCGATGTGATGATGAACTGATATTTTGCAAATTAACTAACGATTTACGATATGGTTTTACTCTGGTTTTACTGAGTAACTCTGTAATTTTCGTTAAATACAATTCGGTTGCCCTCACACCTGTGTTCTTCTTCACTACACTACTAATCCTAATCATAATTATATAGAATATTGTTTGACCGAAAGAAAACTACAATATTATTTATTGATAACTATGTTAACATGAAATATCAATATGAAATAGTGACTTTTTTGTCTACCCCGCGTATTATAATCATCATTTTATCCAATATTTAAATTCATGAACTAACTAATAGGATACACACACATCATTGTGTTCAATGACTCAAACAGAAGAAGCTTCACGCTTTACAAACTATAATTTCCAAAGATTGTGTTTTAAAAATCACAATGTTTCATCGAATCGAGAAAAAAAATTACACCAGAAGAAGGATGATATTGATTCGCATTTATAGATAAAAGTAAGGTCAGCAGCCACATTTAAACTATTCATCATGATCGCAACGCCGAAATTTAATCAGCTATAAAGGACCAAGTATATAGGGGGTAGGAGGTATGCGATAAGTTAATTTAATGATAGCCAGTAAATAGTCGATTATAATCCAAATATTGATTGATGCGCACAATTGAATTATCCTACCTAAAATCATATTTAAGAGAATTTTTCAATTTAATCAGAAATAGATTGTGATATATATATATGTATGTCAGTGTTCTGTATTCGTTTGCATATAAAAAAAATATGTGTATTACGAATATCCAACCATCGATTGCCTCCATCAAGCTATGTGCTTTACGATCGATGTAGGAGGAGGAATAGGTTGAAAAAAGCTAAGGGGTGACCACCAAATCAAAACATGGCACAAATCCATGAACCCATTGACTAGTGGATTGAGTCATGTTGGTAGGTATCGACTACCTCCTCCTACCTGGTTGAGGTCCGCAAGACGATAGTAATCGATGGTTAGAGATCTTGAATGACAACATGGCTTAAAATCGCTTGCAATAGCGCACGCAGGTGCATCCACACTTTATGTTCTCTTAAATCCTAACCATCTGGATTCTTCGTCACCTTTATCGTTTTCTTTCACTAGATTCTACTTCTTGAATAATATCGTCGAACCCTAATCTTCTGCGATTACTACTTATACTTCTACTGCCACATTTACTACTCAGTCAGTCAGTTGCAACGTAGAACTTCGTACGTATGTACAGAAGTTCATGTTGCCATACCACTACATTAGCACAGAGACGCAAATGTCAAATCAAATCCCATAGTCATAAAGATAGTAGAGGTATTAATGTTAATAAAGAAGACTAGGGTTCGAAGATATTATTCAAGAAATATAATTCAGTGAGATAAGGTTAGAAAGACAAAGGTAGAGGTGCTGACGAATCCAGAAGATTAGGATTTGAGAGAACACAAACATGTTTTAGTCTGGCCGCCTCTAACTTTCTTCCAATCTACTCCTACACCACAAAACATAGCTCGTCGAGGCAGTCGGGGGTTGGGCATACGCAACACATGTCCCAACCACCTCAACTGATAAAGTTTCCCCACTTCATCGATTGATCTGCCATCCTTACTTAGTACTCATTTCCTAACGACAGCATTGCTTACTCGGCTGTCCCACGATATAGGAGCAATGCTTCTTAAACATCTATGATGGAATACTAGTAACCTACGAACGTCTTCTACTCTTAACGGCCATGTTTCACAGCCATATAAGAGAACGGAACGAACTACTGCGCAGTACACCCGCCCTTTGGTTAGCGAACGGATATCACGCCTACGCCATAAGTGACGCAGGTTGGCAAAAGCCAATCGAGCCTTCTGTATCCGTGCTGAGATTTCGTCAGTCACCAGGGCATCAGCGCTGATGAGACTCCCCAGATAAGTGAAGTGATCTACACGCTCGACTACTTCACTCCCTATCACTAGTTCAGGTGCCAATGCAACCCAGTCTTGAAGAAACTACGGGATTTGAAATGACAATTGCACCTCTGTGTGCTAATGTGCTATGGCAACTTGAACGGATATACACATGTACGAAGTTCTATGTTGTTGTTGACTGACTCACTGACTCACTGACCATAATAATAATTATTATAATCATCAAACAGCTTATGATGATAAATCACGTTATAATAGCAGGAACATTTGTTTCACAATGTAAGTCGGTCTAAGATGGATAGGCTTAAAAGTAGCGAATTTAAAAGGGTTACCTTATAACCCATCGATTTATGATATTCATAGTAGTAACGTCCCAAAAGTACACAGCAAACAAACACACTACTAAAAACAACTGTTTAGAAAACTCATATATGGCCAGCCTTAAACAGCTTCCTTTTTAACTCTGAAATCATACTTTTAGGTCGCGCGCGACAAGATCCCTCACTCTACTACTACTACTGTGGTGCGCGCTACTTATAAGTAGTATATGACGCGAGTGTAAACGTAATGTCTGGCAGCAGAAGATGGGGGAAGATCAACAAGAAAGTAAGAAGAGTGGGAACACAATGGAATTTGTGTATGAAACGCATGAATAGTGAAATGTCAGACATTGGATTGATGATGGATTAAAGATCTGCAAAATTAACGATTTACGATATGGTTTTCCGATTTTACTGAGTAACTCTGTAATTTTCGTTAAATACAATTCAGTTGTCCTGACACCTGTGTTCTCCTTCACTACTACTACTACTACTACTACTACTACTACTACTACTACTACTACTACTACTACTACTACTACTACTACTACTACTACTACTACTAACTCAGTATAGCTTTCAAGATTACAGATGCTATTTAGATTTTAATTACAAATAACTTATAACATATCAACATGCAACTGAATAATACAAGATAACATAATATAACATAACATAACACCACTTACATTCATCAATTCTTGAACCACGATCACTACTACTACTACTAGTAGTAGTAGTACTTATTCTATGACTATCACGACGGTGGTCATATGAAGGCGGTAACCATGAACATATAACACAACCAGAATTGATTGGTAAATAATAACTGGACATGGTTGTTGCTGAATTGTAAGTTGGTGGTATCGGTGTTGTTGTTGCGGTTGTTGTTGTATTGGTAGCTGGAATAACAGCAAACACACTAGAAGAACCATGCAATAAACTATAATCACTTCCACTAGTAAGTGTAATTCTCTCTCTATTTCTAAAAAATAGATTAAAATATATATATATACATATATATATATATAAGCAGTGAGAGAGATACAATTTATTTTTTTGGTAATTTCATATTAGTCATAATCAATGTCGTCAGCCAGTCAGTTAGATGCAATGTACAACTTCGTACGTAGTAAGTAAATCCGGTCATGTTGCCATATCACCAAATTAGCACAGAGATGTAATTGCCGATTCAAACCCAATAGTAGTAGTTGAGGTAGAGTAAAGGTATTAGAAGTAGTCGGAGAGGTTAGGATGAGAAGATATTTATTATTCAAGAAGTATGATTCAGTGAGAAAAGTTTAGAAAGTCAAAACTAGGGGGGTTGAAGAATCCAGAACACAAAGAATGAATGCACCAGCGCCATTGCAAACGGTTTCGAGCCATGTCATTTAAGGTCTCTGACCATCGATTATTATAATCTCGCGGACCCCAACCGGGTAGTCGACAATTACCGACATACACAAGTTCACTCGTCAATGACTTCATGGATTTCTGCCATGTTTTGGTTTGCTTTCTTCCAACCTACTCCAACACTACAAAACATAGCTCTTCGAGGCAGTCGGCGGCTAGCCATACGCAGCACATGTCCCAACCACCTCAACTGATGAAGTTTCATTACTTCATCTATTGATCTGCCATCCTTACCTAGTACTCGTTTCCTAACGACAGCATTGCTTACTCGGTTGTCCCACGGTATACGAGCAGTGCTTCGAACAACCCCATGAGGATCTCAGTCTCGCGTACTTTTATGAGTATAAGAGCGAATGTTACTTCTTGGCTGCGTCACACTGTGGAAGGGCTCTGACTGTCAGAATGGCGCACTGGCCTCGTAACTTCCGAACTTCCGAAGGAACTTGACTTTCATCATAAGACGTTTAAATGCAGACCTTCTAACTCCCAGAGTAGAGTTCAGAATTAGTTTTACACTAGATAGGGTCGCCAATCCCAAGCCCAACCGTCCTCTTTTATCCGGACTTCGGACCGGCAGTAGCCCCAAGAGGGTCTACAGGTGGAGTTATGAGGACCTCAACAATAATATAGTGTCTACCTATAAATATGGATCATTTTAACAGCAAATGATGTAATGTTTAAATTTGCTTAGATCTAGCTTTTCTCTACCCTACTTCTATGCAAGCCACAATCGACATATACGATATTTAAGGATATTTAACACATAGTGTCGCATTCATCTTACAAGATGAAAATACACAGTCCGAACGATTGTTTAACTACACTGTTTCTCGTTTCATTGTTTCATAACACGTCACTAGTACTTTGTAGGAATGATATGGTAATACTAGCAATTAAAATATGAATAGAGCTAAGTTAAATAGACTGAAGCCAAAATACAGGGTAACGGCAAAGTACGCTCACCGATTGATAAGCAGAGATCTTGTCTACAACATTGGTTCATGAAAAACTGGTAAAAGATAAGATAGTATTGTAAATTCTGGCAAAAATATTGTCAGTGAACCGGAGTTGATGAGTTCGATAATAAGTATAATGTTAACGACTCCTACTACTTTGCATTGCAAGATAAGTTTAGCTATTATTGATTAAGAGTAATTCTGAATGGATATCTGTCATCTTAAGCATTAACTCTGCCTGGAGCGCTTCTAGGGTTACAGCCGGTCCCCAAGCCCGGATAAAGTAGGAAAGTTGTTAGGATATTCATCAAATATCCCAACGAAATTATTTAGCAAGTTTAATTCTATTGGTCGATATTTAAGGTCATCCTAAACTATCAAGTTCACAAACTTTTAAATGTTCTTTCCTTATTGGTTAGTATTCACAGTCGACCTAACTGTATAAATATGGATCGTCTGCAAAGTTTTATACTCCTCTTCTTGTTCTTCTGTACAAAATCTCATATCTTTTGGGTGATTGTAGATTAAAGTTTCTACGCACAAATCAAGACTTTTTGATACCGTTAGTGTGGGGACCTGAGACGCTCGGATTAGAGTAGCTTATCGTGTCAGTGCATCATTTATCTTCGCTCTCAATTGTTTACCGACTAAGGTGAACTCGTAATAGCTTCAAGCATATCAATTGACGTGCATAACAAGAGTTGGGCATGGGGGTTAGCGACCTGATCCCGTAGAAATCCAACTCACTAGTGGCCTCTGCATATATATATATATATATATATATGCATTACGGGGTTGTAAAGATTGTTAAGTTACACATTTTTGAAACCATGTATCGACCAATGTTAGACCAGCGACATTAGAAACCTGGAAGCACTGGACGGCCGTTTCGTCCTCGTATGGGACTCCTCAGCAGTGCGCATCCACGGTTAGGGCGTTCGCGCACAATACCGAAGGTCCTGGGTTCGAATCCTGCGGGCTGCAGGAGTCGTGGATGCGCACTGCCACTGATGAGTCCCATACCAGGAACACGAGACGGCCGTCCAGTGCTTCCAGGTTTCTAATGGTGGTCTGACATTGATCGATTCATGGTTTCAAAAATATATATATATCCTAAACATAACATTACGACTTATTTCAAAAATGCACATAGTTTCAATGAAACAAAATCAATTCAAGAAAAGATATGATAGTGATATACACAGAAATTAAAACAAAACAATTCATTCAGTTTGTTTATACAAAATATACACCACTTACCTTCTACTTCGACTATGATATCGACGTGTTCGATGCGGCAACTACAGATAATAGAAATTTCAGTTAAAATAACAATGAATTATACTTACGCGTGTTAATCTTTCAATCTCTTGTTTGATATCATTTTGTTCCGATGAAGATTTTGACTTTTCTAACAGTATCAGAAAAATAAACATTAAAAAAAAGAGTGGCAAAAATCCCGCTTACCTGGATGTTTACGAAGGAATATATCGACTAAATTATTTAATTGATGATTTTTAGCATAAGCCGAAACGGATTTACGGCACTAAAATTGAATATTGAACATTGAATATTGATGACAACACTACACTTACCATTGGACATTGATTCTTCTCACATTTCAACCAGCATAATGTACAGAAACTATGCAGACATGGTTGAACACTAAATGTGTTTATTTTGTAACTAATAATAATGAACAACTTACCTACAACATTCAAAATAAATATCACCACAAATGGCACAAGTTAAACAATTTTCTAAATCACTATCATCAGTTGATGTGGATGGTTTGATGGAATCTAACAATGGTGGTGGTTGTGTTGGTGTTGTTGTAGAGTGTTCTGCAGTGATCATCATCTTCTTGTCGGATTCATCCGATGACAGTGAAAGTGTACAATCATTCATAAATAATATACAAAATCCGATACCTTTAGAGCAAGCAAGCAGGCAGGCATAAATGATGAATGCATGCATGACTTGAACTTACGTTTGTTCACATCCATCTCATCCCATGTAAGATAGAAATAATCACCAGTATGTAATTTCATAAAATCTTGTTGTAACCATTTTCCATCATGATAACGTGTTCCAGTTTTACTACAATCATATAACCAAATCACATTGTCTGGATCTTTCATTAAAAGACAATGTGAACTGGAAACATTTTCATCCTTTATCACAATTAAACATTCTAAACAATGGAATGAACACACACAAAAGAGACTATTGAAACAACCTTCAGATGATCCGATAGTGATTACGTCTTGAGTTAATTCATGTATAGTGGAATCATGCACAGAAAATAATTTAGCCCATTTTGAAGATATTTCACCTGGTTCTTCTTCATCAACTTCAGCGGCATGTATTGACATATTAACTAGAATAAGATTTAAATTTATGGAAAAAAATAAACAAAATTTTATTTAAAGAAATTTTGAATATACACTAGGAATTTCAGAAATCAGCCTGGGTTCATTGTGAAGGTCAGCTACAACATAGAACTCCGTACATTCGTACATACAGAAGTTTATGTGACCATACCACATTAATACAGAAATGTAATTGTCACTTCAAATCGCATAGTAGTAGGGGTAATAAAGGTATTAGTAGTAATCGGAGAGATTACGATTCGATGATATGATTCGGGAAGTATAATTCAGTCAGATCACTTCGGAGATGAGGAATTCACGTTAGAAGTTGAGCGAACAACATATACAGTGGATGCGCCTACGCCACTGCAAACGATTCTGAGCCATGTCGTTTAAGGTCTCTAACCATTGATTACTTTGGTCTTGCGGACCTCAATCAGGTAGCGGACATCTACCAACATGGCTCAGTTCAGTTACCAGTGACTTCATAGATTTATATCATGTTTTGATTTAGCCTCCCCTTAGCTTTCTTTCAACTCACTCCTATACCACAAAATATTGCTCGACGAGGCAGTCGGGGGTTGGGCATACGTAATACATGTCCCAACTACCTCAAATGATGAAGTTTCAATACTTCATCTACTGATCTGTCATCGCTACCTAATACTGGTTTCGTAACGATAGCATTGCTTACTTGGCTGTCCAAGAATACACGAGCAATGCTTCGAAGACATCTATAATCGAATACTAATGATCTACGAATGTCGTCTACTCTTACCAGCTATGTTTCGCATCCATATAGTAGGACGGAGCGAACTAATACACAGTACACTCGTCTTTTCGCTAGCAAACGGCGCCACCAGTGAAGCAAGCTGAAAAAAGCCAGTAGAGCCTTCTGTATCCGTGCTGAGATTTCATCAGACACCAGGCCCTCAGGATTGATAAGACGGCCAAGATAAGTGAAGCAGTCAACAGGCTCAGCTGCTTCACTACCTATTACAAGTTCAGCTGCTGACACCAGCAAGTCCTGAAGAAATATTTTGCATTCTGAGGGAGACAATCGCATCCTGAACATACTTACATTGTTGCTTAAGGAAGTTGGAAGACTGCATTTAGTCAGCGTCATCGGCATATTCCAAGTCAGCCAGTGAATTCCCAAGTAAAAGCTGAAATCCCGAAAGGTCAGAAGATGAAAGCGTTGTCCCTAAAAGCATGTCAATGACAAAGATGAACAAGAAACGAGCTACGAAAACAACACAGTTTGAAGTTAGTTTAGGATCAACGATGATTATGAAAACAAACAATTAATGACATTGATGAAAAGATGCCGTAGGATAGGGTAGATAAGTAAAAATATTTTCATTCCATCAATCGCACGAATAAATATAACCGAAATGTATGTTGGTATGAAAACTAACTTTGAATGGACTATTTAAAATAAAGTTACAATCAACCCAAAATGTAGCGAGTTTCATCTACGACTGAGCCTTATCACGTTAGTGGATATCATTCGAAACTCATGATAATATCGCCTTGCACAATATTTGAGACAGCTTATCAATCCTAATAGATCGTCTCTAGGAATCTAAAGTAGCGGTACACAAAGTTCCATATACCGTACCATAACTTGTTCGTTTAGAGCTTAAACACAATCCCCTAACTGGTCTCACGCAATAAACGTTTTCAACTATGAGAGACTTGGTAACGAAATACTTGTTAATGTATTAGACTGCATCTTAAACACTTTAAATTATGATTAGAACTGCACATTACAGTGAAGTATGTATGACATTATCAGTTTGCAGTAGAAGGAATAGCTCAATAGACTTTGTTAATTTTCGCGAATTAAAGTACTGTGAAGATCCAATCTTGCTTTAAACGTATCGACAGGCGCTGATTTTATGTGTTCTGGTATTGAATCTCTTTAATTCACAACTCTATGCGGAAAGCAGAACAACAGATGTAAGCGATTCGGTTTTCCGGTTTCTAAATTTCATAGGTCTTCTCAGGTGGTCAGTCCTAGTATCAGTACGCCAGTACTAAGTCATCTCGTAACCAGAAGAAAATGGAAACATGTCTTCGTAAAATAAGTTAGTGGGATTTTTTGTAGTTTCAGTTGGTTGCTACTGGACCTGTTTTAGTATACGTGCTTCATTCCAAAAACAAGGACTCATTGTTTGATCCTCATATTCTATACGTGGCCTCAAAAACGACCAGTATAGTAAACCAAATATTTCTTCATCTAAGTTATGAAATGACTTGCGATTAAGTCATGAAATCCTGAGAGGTAGGGCAGCGATAGCATTACAGTTAATTGTAGTTTCAAGGTTGACGTTTGTCACGACCCATGGATCCTAATAATCTACTGCTTTAATTAACACCATTTCGGTTATTGAGTTGTGTGAATAGTCGGTTAGTTACATGTATTACTACACACTGGGATTAACTTCAAATAACTACCTCCTATGCATCAATCCAACCTGTGAATTAAGGTCGTCTTAGAATATCATCGTATCTGACATACAAAATGTATAGTTCTTCAAATCTCGATGTAACTGGTAAACAGCGAAACCGATCACTACTACAGCTGGCAAACAACCAGAATGAAGCAAAAAAAAACAGGTTTAAAGATTGTATCTTGAAGACCCCCACATTTTATTAATGCCCATATTGAAATCAGATTCCTCAAGGATGGAAGGTTTCATCTTTGGTTGTAAGATTATTAGCTTCTGCATGACTTAGTATAGTCATCCAAAAAACTTTTTTACTGGTCTGACAACAGTAAAATACATACAGAAATAGTGACTGTTAAGTCACTGATATTTTACGAGGGTGAATTGAGGTTTTCTCAATACAATTCGATAGGTTTCTCCAACGGTAGTAGGAATTCCAGATTAATTCAAATTCCGAAAAGCTTTCGGGTATAAAACCGGATAAGAGGAAATTTTAGGGGTTTTAATCGCATTTCTTCGAAGTCTACTAAAGGAGCTTTATGGAATGATGAAAAATGTCATCAATGTCAGGGGATTTGAAAGCTTAAGATAAAGAAATCATTTGCCAACATTCCTGAAACATACTTTTTTACCTGATATCATCTCAGCAGCACAGAGAATAATAATGTTGACAAAAATGATAAATACTGGTCTAACCTTTTAAACAGCGCCAGAGACCAAACTTGCCGTCTAATGAACTTAGTAGCGCAACTGTCCAATATTCAATAGCTTTGTCCCGAGCTAGTGTAAACAATTTGATTTATTCCTACTTGCTTCTTTTTGCTTCCCTTCAGTTCCAGGTATTTGGAAATGTCCAATGGGTAGTGACTGTACTGAATCTCGTCCGTTTGTTAGTTATTTATACATTTCAATATCAAGTGATACGTGTGTCAGCAGTAGTTTCTGGATACCAGCAGGTATCACGCTTCCAGGAAAAAGGTTAGGTGACTGCAATGTGGAGAATGTTAAAGCGATAATTCTGGTGTTAAAGTAAAGAAGATTGGTCCAAGTACCAGATAAGTTCATTCATCGAGAACGCCGACGGTATAAGACTGAATTTAAAGATTATAAGAAAATAAGATAATCAGTGAGATAAAAGTAACCTGATGATGTATGATCACAGCGACAGAAGGCATGGGGCACCAATATTGCAATAGGGAGCTGGTGACCCGTGGATGAATACATGTTTTTCAAGTTTCTATCTTCTTAGAGTTATCCACTAAAAGGCTGTAATTACACCAGCTTCAAAAGAGCTGCATGTTTTGGTAAATTTTAATAAGGAAATGTGGGAGTGTACCCATGTCTTTACTGCTGACGTGAAATTTCCTCAGGTTAATGCTGAGGAGAGTGATGTGGAAATTCTTGTCCGTGCTGTCATAAGTTGGAGTACTTAGCATATGATGTGTCATTATCAGATTACCACCCATTCTCTTACAACTCAGTCAGAATAATTTCAAGTGTTGAAGTGCTTCTTTCAAATATTTGTTCCTTAGCCTGATCATTCAGTTGCTATTCCCCGAACTGTGTCTAAGAGTTCTGTCTCTTTTGAAGAGAGGAACTGGCTGTGACAATATTCTGAACTTCAGTGTTTTATCATAAGTACGTTTTGACAATGGTTAAGAATAATTCTAGGGTGATTTTGTAAGTTCTTATATCATAAAGTGAAGAGTTGGGTTTGGCTTGACTCAATTCACCACACAGCTTGAGACGATGTTCAAGTCACCTGTGATTAAAGTCATAGATTCCACTATAGGGAGCAGATTACCATATAAAACGCTCTTGTGTTTATGCTGCATGGATCTCAAGGCTTGTGGAACAGCATTTAGCAGGTTAACTTTTAAATCATTATTTATTAACCATTTCCCTATGATTATAGGGTCTTTTTGAGGCCTTAGTAAAACCTATTTGCTTCCTACGGTCTCCGAATCTTCGCGTTGTCTGTATAGATTGATGTTGCATGGTTAATTTTATCTAATGAATATTAGGAATTGGATGAACTTAAGATTGCGCCCTAAGAAACTACTGAGAGTTAGACCTGCCAGCTCTCATGCATTCTAGTCACCTTGTTATAAAACTTCCCATTCCCTAGGTAGTTTGCGAGACAAGATAGAAGCGAATCAGTAAAGCCCATCCTCGAAACCTTCGCTGTTAGGTTTACATACTTCACAGTATCAAAAGCTTTTACGAAATCACGGAACATTATATCGACTGTTATTTTTCGGTTCCAGCAACTCATTTCTGATTGTCAAAAATAGCTGCATCAGGGTTACTGCCTCCTAAATGTGCTCGTATATACCACCTACTGGTTTTATAAGGATTAGAAAACGCGGAAGCCTAGTGATTCTGAACACTTTGTTTCAGAACCCGTTTCAGTGTTTCAGTCCAGCGAACATCATTATCTGGTGTTCTATTGAGTTTTCTCATAATCTTATTGCTAGAAACGGAGATCTTCAACAGATTATTAACTTGTGAATTAAGACCTTATCTGGTCATCCTTGTTGTTGCTGTAACAACAAAAGTATCAGTATTTAGTATGGCTGCAGGTATGATGAAACGAAGTTTATTGGGTTTGAACACAGCTCGTTCTTCTGTGCAGCGTACTAGGCTTTCAGAGCGACTGGCATTAATAAATATCAAAACACAAATCCTATACTGCGTTTAGCGAGTTGTTATCTAAAAAAGAGAACAACGTACGTACAAATTACGAAATATCTCAAACGTTTTATTAGAACGAAACATCTTACTAGAAATAGTCAGTAAATCGTTGCTCGGTACACAAAAATCAATAAGAGTGTTCTAAACAAGATGGGATGGAATATTTGTATGTAGAGATTCCAATAACCTTTCCAAACAAGCAGTCAGGGGTCATCAACCACAAAAACCTAGAAGAAACACTAAAAAATATGGTGCTTGACCACAAGGATTCCAAGTATAAGCTTATTTAGAAAACAAGGTAAAAGGATGAAGAAATAAAAACTCGTTACAATCAAGCACTATAGAAGGATTTTCGACGGTTTTTCTTCCTTTTCACTTATAGTGTAGACACTAGCAGTAACGCTAATACCGTGCATATAACTCAATAAACTAGAAATTAAAATGTAAGACAATTTAAGGAAGTATATGACATAAAAGTTTCAAAGAGGTAAAATTACAAAATAGGCAAATATAGGCTACACAGAAATAGAGCCTGAACTATAGTCAAAGTTTCAACGTTATTCTCATCTGTTCTAGTAAGCAACTTCATGTCGGCTAAGCAATATTTCCTCCAATTTTATGTCTGGGGCCGAATAAATGTTTGCATATAGGTCAGTTATTCGAGACAGTTAGACCTAACATAAAATGGTTCAACATTGGCTGGCTGATTTGTTACTTTGTTTGTCCACCATTGATGGAAGACGAAGTTCGGATATTTAGGAACCTTTAAATATTCAAACAGAAATTAACCTGGACTCCAAATACAATACGTTCAATTAGGCTCATATAATTCTTTCTGAATTCAATACTGATCCATACCTGACTACTAGACCAGGATATTTGTGGGCATTGCTAGATAGTACAAATAATACGTATACCTACGGTTACTACAGATTTCATTCCTATCAGTGCTGCGAATGCTTCCTAGGACGATATTAGAGTAACTCCTAATGTGCGCGGAAAACATTTTGTTTTTCGTGGCCAAATGCTCTCACTTGGTAGGGGGTATGTATTATTTTCGCTTTATTATGAATATAACTGGACGAAGTTCCTACTAAAAGTATGCCTTTCATGTTTTCATACTACATCAACAACTTTGTTTGAACAAGTAGTCACGTTCTTTTGCTCGCTAGATTTGTATGAGCTAACGGGCTCACGCTTTCAAAATTATCAAAGCAACATTAGTTTTGCGTGTTAGATGAAGACTGTTGTTAGTGATAAGATTGAAAACATAATATATCCAAGTCGCAAACACTGTGTGGTGGGTCTAGCTCTCTGGATCAACTGCTCTCGTCCTAGTTGCTTCGAAAGCATAAACACGTACATTCAATGACAAACACAGGACTTATGGGAACGTTACAAGATCCACCCGAAGTTGCTT